TTGTCATGTATTGTTCCTTTACCTTTTAATTGTAAACTTTGGAGCAGGGCCTATCCCTATATTGCACATTGCACTAAAATAATCATGTGTGGTTTACTTTTAGAACTATCTTGCACAATTTTATTTGTTTGGGGACAGTAATACACTAGTTGGAAAATACCTTTGGTGGCTTGATTTGTAAATTTCATATTTTTGCAAAGCTGTTTTATAGAAGAGTTTTGACAGTCATATTCTTTGTGTTTGATTTGAGCCTTATTTTTAAATAAATGAGCTCTCTTTTTAAATAAAAGCACTTTAGAACACACGCTCAAGCTCAGGGTGACTGATTTGCCGCCAATATGGAAATAGAGCTTTAAAAGGGAGTTACAGGAATTTTCCTAACAACATCAGAACAAAACCATCTCCCTCTCCCCACCAGAGAAAGTCACTACCTAGCCATTCTTGTGTAATTTAGAATTGAAAAGTTAAAAAGAGGAGTTCCAACACAACATCAGAAAAGCACAGTAAGGGCTTTATAGGTAAGTGTCTTCTTTAGTGTTACCATTCCACAACACAGGCGGAAGTAAGGGCTTATATCTCTGCTTATAGTTTTTCTATCTCCCACTGTTTAATATTTGTACTTTTAAACATAAAGATTAAGAGTTATTCTAACTGCTTGCCCAGTAGACTGTATAATTATACCACTGACTTCAAGGCCAGTTCATAACTCCAGAAAAAACTAGTGTTGGGTGAGGTTGAGAAAACCTGTCTGCCAAGAATTTTAAATAAATAAAAAGGAGGGTGGAGAGAAATGGATAGGCCTCTGTGATCCGTTTAGTGCTTCCCATATTTCTTCTTCCTGCCCACCACCTTCAAGGTCTTGCATTAGACTCCAGCCTTATAGTGAATACAGCTACTCCTGTTGGAACCTGTCAACACGATTCTTTGGTCAGCCAAAGCAGCACTGTTAAACACAGAGTTCCCTACTCACCCTGCAGGGTTACTCAACAGCCACATACACGCTGCCGAAATGAAAATTCACTCAAAAGTCATTGGGAGGTAGAATGAAAAGGGAACCCATACAATTTGCAATACACAGTGCAAATCATTTAGCTTTAATAGGTATGTTCAGATGTGGGATAAAGTATGCCTAAACAGGCCTAGCTTGCAAACTGAACTGAAATCTTTAACTTTGGTTCAATAGGAGTTGTCAGAGCCACAAAATGATTTAAATCCCCCACCTCAGCAACTGTTAAAGAGATTGGAAATTTATTGGGGAGGGGATAAAAGGAGTTATTTTTTTCCAAGACCATTACTGTGGACAAATAAAATGGGATAGTGGAAGAAATGAACAACTAAACTTAACAGTTCGCATGCTCTCTCCTACATTTTGGAATATACTGAAGTCTGATTTGTGGTGTCAAATTTTCAAAGTGGAAACTACAAGCACTTTGCCTAAGTTAAAGCATTTCAGCCTTTAACTGAACTGGGAGTGTTATCAGAAAGAAGCTGCCTCACTGTTTAAGCTCGAGTCATGGTATGTTAAAAAAGGGCAATGGCTCTGGTTGTTGCATGCTACTGGAATACATTGTTCTGTATTGCACAATCCATTCAGACATGTATCTTGAGTCAGTTTTAGTCTTCTCATTAAAGAGGTAGCACAGATCCATAACCTAAATCAACTAAGGGGAATCCTTGGTACACATAGCCCCGGGGGTATGCAGAGGTCTCTAAGGGGTACATTAATTCATCTAGGTATTTGCTGAGTTTTACAACAGGCTACATAAAAAGCACATACAATGACTTGTTTACACTGCTCTATGTATTATACACTGAAATAAGTACAATACTTATATTCCAATTGATTTATTATATGGTAAAAATGAGAAAGTAAGCAATTGGTCAGTAGTAGTGTGCTATGACACTTTTGTCATTTTATGTCTGATTTTGTAAGCAAGTGGTTTTAAAGTGAGATGGAACTTTGATTGGTCTTGCATACCCCAGACTCCTGGAAAGTAGTCTGGAAAGGTTGAGAGCCTATTTTAAGAGATTACATTTAAGTATGGAGAAGAAAAACAGTTTGATACATTTAGGAATTCCATATCGAATACACCAACTGGCATATTTTTTCCAAGCTCATTTTCAGTTTTATTAAGTTCATTACCATTTCAAAGTCTACCGTTTCAACTAAAGGATAAAAGCATGCAAGGCTCAGTTCTAAAACTCCATTAAGCACAAGTAATGATAATAGCACACCCATGTCAGATCACCAACTCCCAGCAACAAATGAATTTCCTAGATGAGGCCTGTTTCCTGTAATTCAAAAGTACCTACCAAAAAACAACCAACCAACCCATCAATGTACTGTCACACAGATTGTATTGGTTTGCCACAACTTACTGCAGGACAACAGGAAATTTCTGAGTGGTCTGGGCAGCTCTGTGTTTCATCTAATTCTGAAATAAAAGCTACATAACTTTTGAGTTAACAATGTAAGAATCAATTTAAAGGCTAATAAGCAGTTGTGGAGCACATAAGAGATAGATACTAATGTTCCCATTAAAGGATTGCTGGGGATTTAGAATAAAGAAACAAGAGTGGAATCTAGAGTGTTTTGACATGCACTTCTGCAGAGATACAGCAAACTGTTCACCTCAAACTATCACTTACAGTGAAAAGGCTGCAAAGCTGCTGAGGCCCTGCTTTCCCACAAACACCAACAGATACAGCAATACACTACCCTTTTGCACAAATTTTATAAACTGTTATGCGTGCTTTTTTTGGCAGCATTTTCAACACACAAAAATGCTTCAATTAACAGGAGTGCAATTGTGTTTAATGTGGAACAGCTGCTGCAAACTTTCAGAATTCATATCCCAACCAGGACACACCAAACTGTACTTCTGTGACTCACAATAAGATCCTACTTAATGAATAAAAGACTGTATAGGAGATAAAAGAATGGGCTGATAAAATGCAGCAGCTCCAGCTAAGATTTAGCAGTAAGTGTTCTTAGTTTAGGAAGAACAGTTAGAAGTAAAAGTAAAAGTAAAATGGAATACACACACACCTATAACTATGCAGTTTTAATTTGACTGTTAGTTTAAAAGACAAAACAAGATTGCATTAGCTCAAGTAGACATCAGTAAACTAAGAAGAATTAGAAAAGCCTACTTTCAATATTTGGTAAAATTTGCTCAAGGACTCCTGTTCCTTGCAGACATTATACATAAAGTTTCTTCTGGAAAAAATAAATATTTTTGAGCAAACAAGCCAGAGCATAACCTAAAGAAATAGTTTTGCATCATCCCATCTACAGATTATTTTGAATGGTTATATATTTGTTTAATTTTAAAACTACAAGTCAGTACTAGGTTGATTATACAAACATATGGCACCAGTATTACATTCTACCTTGTATTTATAAAAAATACTGAGTCCACAGATGCCATTATATTAACATTTATTAGGCTGACAAAAGAATCATGATGGAGCACATACTCCAACAGGTTCCATAAAAAAACCTTATTAAGTTATATTAATAAAATGCCTTCTACATTAACGTGTAATTTACAAGCCTCTGTATATTATAAAGATTTACCCACAGAAATGCTAAATAGTCTTTAGCCCCTGGGTTCTGGGTGACAGAATAAACTGAAGAGAGTCAGATTAGCATTAAAACCAGTACACCTTCAGTGTTGGAATGAGAGGCTACAAGTCTATTCCTTTAAATGAGGAAGGGCATTTGGAACAAAGGCTTTAAAAATAAAATTAAAAAATAATTGAAGTTATTACCTAGATTACCATTTCCTACTTGTCCCATACAAACTTTAAATACTAATGGCATATTAATAACCTCCATAAACAAACGTGCCCGATATTAAATGCTTGTTAAATTGTTTTTATAACCGATTTTTCATTTCAGCTGTTAAGATACAAAAAGCAAAGGTTTGTTCCCCACTGTCCTCCTAAGGAAGCCTGATATAGTATATGATTTGCACTAGGTACTTTGGAACCTTCTGGAACATTGTTTATTAGTTTTGGCAAACTACCAATGATTTCTACAGGAATGGAGCCATTTTGCTGTTCAAACCTGGTTAATCTGTAGCTAGACACATTTCTGATAGGGAAAAGTTAATAAAAAACCACCTTGCAGACATGGCCTTAATAGTTTGATTTTTTTTTCCAAAAATTTTATTGGGAGAACTACAAAACATTTACAGTACAAAGTTTACAGTCTCACACTCAATTTGTAGTGAACTGACTCCCGAAAATATATTACAACTCAAGTTGACTTATCCTTTAGTTACATTCAAAACATACTTCTGTTAAAGTAGTCCAAATAGAGTACATAGTGCTTGATCTGTACCTATGTACAAACAAAACTAAAAGCTACTGCTCATTCATCCACCGTCCAGGAAAGTTTTGGAAAACTCCTGACTTTCTACACAAGGAAAAAATTACAAGTTTTGGAATTTAATTAAACAAGATATGTTCATGTACTGCATAAAGTTTCAGATCCAAAGGTGGCCTCCTTGCTTATATATAAAAAAAAAGTGGTGAAACTTTTCATGTAGTTAAAACCCATCCCTACATTCAAATTATCTCAAGCATTAAGAAAAATACTTATTTGGTTGAGGAAGATTTTAAGGCAAGCATGGACCCTTAAGAAGGCACTGTGAGACATAACACTGGGACCCCCAATTATTGCTACATACTTTGAGACTATATCACAGTGTGATTGGTGGAGTTAGGCAACAAAAATACTTTTTGGTTAATTTAAACACATTTGAATTAGGTTTGCCACTTTGAAGTCTGATTGCAGAGTAGTTTTGTTGGGGTTTTTTGTTTTGTTTTTTACATGGACGGGCTACAACCATTTTACATTCTAAAAAACCCACAGAAATTCCTCATACTACTTCCACAGCATAGAGACCGATTTCTATAAAGAAACCATGCAATCTTTTAAATTTACGTAAACAAGGAAAGAAATTAATGAAATAAATATTACATACAATCTCTTAAATTAAGATTTTTACTCATTTACAATAAAATAACCAAGTGAAGTTACAAAAGGCATATATTACTGTGAAAAGAACACACTCCACATTTCGCCGATTAATAATGGCAATCATAATTTAAACATAATAAAAGAATATATATCTATTGCTTTTCATCATACCCGATAAATACAGTATGAACAAATTACCAATGTATACTTTTCACAAGATAATAAATAAGTTAAATAGTTTCATATTGAGTTGTGTGCAGTGACTCATGCAATCAACTCAAACAGCTAAAAAAAATTAAAAAAAAAAAAAAAATACAGCAGTTATTCTCCAACAATTACAAACTAGACTCAGTTGAGTGCTTCCAAATAAAGCAACAACAAAAAATTGTTCTAAGCCAAACATCCACTAAGTGGTGGCAATGGAACCAACATGAAACTTTGGAATGGAAGTTTTAGCATTTGTTATAATATATATAGATTATATAAAAAAAAACTAGAGGGTTGTTATCAAGGCATATTCTTGGCAGGATATTGGATTTTTCTTTTAAAAGCTTATAGGTTTAGTACTGGTGTGGGTCTTTATTTGAAATTGGCTTGAAAGACAAACTACTTATTAAATTCTGTCTTTTTTTAATATAAAAATGTGGAGAGGCTTGAAATGCAGAGTTCATGCCCCTCTGGATTGTTTGTTGCTTGCTTTCTGGTGGTGTGGGTTTGTCTTGGTTCCCCCCTCCCCCTCTAATGCTTAAAAAAAAAAAAAAAAAAAAACCACACACCACACACAGATGGAATGGCTGCTGCTGCTGGTGCATATTATAACTAGTCTCCAAACAAAAAACAAAAATCCCCTTCTTCCAAGGTCTCTCTATAAAAATAGGTTTGTTCTGTTCATGTCGCCATTTGCCCTTCTGCAAATTTATTTTTTGTTCATCTCTCGATATAAAAAGTTTTTTTCTCTTCTCGCTTTTTAATTTACTTGCTCAGCAATTAAACCAAACCAAACCCAAGAGGATCATCGAAGGACTGTGCGAGCTTGGCTAGTTCTCAAGGCTGCGGTCTCTGCTCCCGGGGTTTATCCTCCCCCCTGCCGCGGGGTTCACACCCCTCTTCTCCGCTCCCCACTCTCCGGCCCGGCTCCCCCTAGTCGTCGGAGATGGAGAGGCGGCTGAAGATGGGCAGGCGCCTGCCGGAGTCCAGGCTGGGGGACTCGGAGCCGCTCAGGCTGCCGGAGCTGAGGGAGCCGCTCAGGTAACTCTCCCGGTCGGAGAGCGAGTCCGGGGGGCTGGGCGGCGCGTCGAAGACGGGGGACTCGGAGAGGCGGCGCAGGGGCTGGAAGTTGAAGGGAGGCGAGGCGGGGGGCGGGCGGACAGCTCCCCCCGGCGGGGGCTGCTGCTGCTGGCAGCGGTAGAAGGCGGCGGCAGCTACCGCGGCGGCGGCGGCAGCGGGGCTGGCGGCGAAGCTGGGGCTGTGGATGGCGAGCGGCGCGATGAGGCTGCCCAGCTCCTGGCCCGAGAAGGCGAAGGCGTTGTTGGCGCAGGGCGGGGAGAGCAGCTCGTCGCAGTAGGAGGCGGAGGCGGGCGGCGGAGGGGTGCGGGACCCGCCGGGGCTCTCGAGCAGCGCCGCCTCCAGGCGCCCGCCGGGCTGCTGCCCGCAGCCGTGCTGGTGGTGGGCGGAGAAGCCGGAGAAGCTCAGGCTGTGGTGCAGCTTGGGCCGCTCGCCAGCGCCGCGCTGGGGCCCGAACCCGCCGCCGCCCCCCAGCGGCGGGTCCCGCGGGGCGAAGGCGCGCAGGTCACCGGTGCTGCCGGCGGGGTGCGGCGGCGGCGGGTGGGGGTGGTGGTGCGGGGCGGCGGGCGCGGCCGTTCCCCCTCCGGGCGCGGGGCGGCGCTCGTCCGCGTTGTGGATGAAGTGGCAGCGCGGGCCGTAGGGGCAGAAGCCGATGGTGTGGAAGGTGCGGCACAGCTCGGTCTTGTACTTGGGGTGGCGCGTCAGGCTGCGCAGCTCGTGGAAGCCGTGCGCGAACTGGCACTTCTCGCCGTACTTGCAGGCGCCGCTCTCCTCGAAGGGCCGGCACAGCTCCGTCTTGTAGCGCGTGGAGTTGATGGGCGCCCCGCCGCCCCCCTTCCCCGCCTGCTGCTGCAGCTGCTGCATCAGGTGCTGGCTGCGCTCGCCATTCTCGCTGAACGAGCGGTCCCGGAACTTGTTCTCCTTGTTGAGCAGCGCGGTGGGGCTGCTGCTCCCTCCGCCTCCCCCCCCGCCCGTGCCCGTCTCCTTCAGGCTGCCGAACGAGGAAGAGGAGGACGAGGACGACGAGCTGGAGCCCGAGGAGCCTGGGAACTTGGAGCTGTTGGCCAGAGCCTGCAGGTTGCTGGTCGAGTGCCTTCGCAGAAACCCCGGCGCGAAGCTGGAGCTGGGGGAGGTCACGGGGGTCCCCACCGCCTTCTTGTCCAGCATGCTGCTCAGGTTGGTCAGGGCTTTTTCACTCTGGAAACGAGAGGGGGAAAGGAGGAGAAAGAGAGTTTGCAAAGTGACTCGGCCGGGTAGCAGTTCTGCAAGTTGCCAGCGCCCCCTGAGACTGCACGGGGGTAAAACGCCCCCTCGCAGCACATCTGCAGGGCGAGCGTGGGACATCTTAATGTCTCCCCTGCAGCCTGAGAGCTATGCACTAACCCTTACTTCTCAGCAGTGTCTTTAACAAGGTGACACAGCTCCAGGTAAAGCTTCACCTTCACAGCACAAGCCTAAGGACTTCCATTGCCAGAGTTCGAAGTTTTGGGGGAGATCTAGTACTGACTTCAGCACATTTAAAACTAAAAGCTTTAGAGACCTTAAAGCTCCCCACTGCAACACAACTCGAACTCTTTGATAAACTTCCAGTCAACAAATCTACTTAGAACCCTGTGCCCAGAGAACTGCAGATCAGTTTGGGAGGGATGAAACACCAACCAGGCAAACTGTCACAATTTAAATGTTAACTTGATCACAGAGTAAGTTACGTGCAAAATGCAGCCCACATGGAAAGCAGCACCCCTCCCCCAACAAGAAAAAGGAGTTAATTTCACTTGTTAAATAGTCACACAAACTTCGAAAGAAAACACTCAAGTGCTCAGATTTGCTAAGAGCCATTTAAAACGTTCAAAGTGCTTGGCAGACAAAATGCAAACTCTTCCCCTACCTTGCACAAGAAGTCGATGTCGTAGAAGGCAGATAAAAGTGTCGTAGACATTTCGAGATCCTGTAGTGATCGGAAATACAGGAAGGACCGAAAGATCCCGCTTTCCTCGGAGGCTTTGGAAAAGCCACGACTAGATAGGAAAGGGCTGATTACTTGAGATCCGAAATGGTCCAATCACTTTCCCGGCAGGGGTGGGTTAGCGGGTGCCCGGCGGAGGCGGTGGCTACTGCTGCAGCGAGCTGACTGCTGGAACTCTGCAAGCCCTGTGCTCGGCACATATATAAACGCCGGACAGTGCAAGGGGCGGGACCCAGCCGGGCCCGCCGGGGTCTCCCAGCAACACCGCCCAGTCGTTCTCACCCAGCCCTGCCCCCTCCTCAGCCGCTCCGCTGCTTCTCATTGGGCGCCGCCAATTTCTTTCAGGGGCCTGGAGTGCAGGGAGGTGCTGTGGGGCTGAGCGGCAGAGAAAGAGCGGCGGGCGGGGTAGCCGTCGGCTGTACAGCTAGCGTCATGCTCACTCGGGGTTGCAGTGAGCCATTGGCTACGCGATTGTACTATACAGTCTTGTGACTCTGCTATGCATGGGGTTATAGAGTGGAAAGTATATAGAAAGCATTCTACAAGGCTTGCTACACAATGCACTGTGGGTAGCAGGCAGTCCACTATACACAGGGTGCACTGTTGTATACACTTGTATTAGTAAACACTGTGCAGTATATACAAGGCTGCTACAGATGAGTGTAGCTTGCTGCAGATTGTGTATAGAAAGCATGGTCCTATACATGGAGATTTGCTATGGAAATACAGAGGGCACTTACTGAATGCACCGTGCATATAGGTTTGTTACAAATACAAACTGCATAGAAAACACTCAAAAGTAAGACTTGTTACAGAACGTACTACCTAGAAACCACGCTAACATTTAGGAGTTATTGACGCAAAAACACTGCAGACGTATCTAGGAGGTTGCATCTGAAGAAGTGAGGGTCTTACCCACGAAAGCTTATGCTCTCAATACTTCTGTTAGTCTCAAAGGTGCCACAGGACCCTCTGTTGCTTTGATCATTCGATATTATTAAACTCCTGATTTTCTTTTAAAATGCCTCGGGAAAATCAGTGTCCCCTTTATTGCAAAAGACATACACGCGCCATGTCCCTGACTAGGACTTTTCAACCAGCACATGTCGGAAAGGGTTTCCCTCTCACTTTAATATGCCTGGCGAATAGGCTGGGAAGCTTAAAAAAAGGAAGATGCACCCAAGTACCTCGGAGTGAAACGGGACACCTCTTCCTCCCTCCCCACCGAACATCAACTTTTGCCACGTAATTGATTTGAAACAAACTTTGGGTCCTTGCTTGCTGCGCCCGCGTAACTAGCGGACGGTCGCTAGGGTGTGTTACTTTGCAACACAAAGCGCGGGTGGCTAAAGGGATCGGGTTTGGGGGCGGAGGGGGGAGAGGAGGGAAGAAAGAAAGAAAGAACCATTTCCCCTCCCGGCGGGCGGCTCCTGCACAGCAAAGGGCCTCCCCGTCCCGCGCCGCCTGCACCATGCGCCCGCCTCCCGGAGCTTTCCAATAAGGCCTAGTCGATCACAGAGACTTGGCAGCCGGTCAAGGTCTTGTGATGCGATTAGCAAAGCCAATTTCTTCTCCTTTGACTTGGAGCCCCAACGCCCCTCCCTGGGCAGCAGCACCGCAGGGCTAGAACGAGGACACAAGCGTCCGCAGCCCCGGCCGCTCGCTCGGTGCCCTTCCCCGGGCGGAGTGCGCGAGGGAGGGAGGCCGCCGCCCGGGGAAGTGCAGCCGAGCCGCGGCTGCAGAGCGGCCCCAGGCTCGAGCGCTGCCTAGCTTGTGCAGGGAGGAAGGAAGCCAGTGCTAGGGGTGAGTGGAAGGGGACGTAACCGTACTGTGCTCCACACCTCGGCCGGGGGAGGGGGGCACACGCACTGCCCGCATGGGTTCCTTGGCTACGCAAAATATACGCGCTCCTCAAGACAAATAAGCAATGAGCCTGGCCTATCTGAGTCTGCACGGCCGGGAGGGGAAGAGTTAACCCCGGGGCCCCTTTCTTTGCAGCACCCCTCCCCCCTCCCAGGTCACAGCTCTTTCTGTGCAACTGCCCGGCCAAGTTATCCCTTCCCCTGCAGCATTAATGCCCCTCCCTCCTAAAGAGCCCTTGTCTGGACAGTAGCTGGGACCGGGGGACAAAGTAGTGGTTAGAAGGAGCGAACGCCCAAAAAGGGAGCTAATCTCCCCACCCCCGGAGAAATAGCAGATGTTTTTAACCACACTGTACACGCCAGGTAACCCCGCTTGTCTCCCCCCCCCCCCCAGACATTCATAAATCTGGCCTGACTCCGACATCCAGGCTTGTATAAACACGTTCAACAGCACGATTCTGCATTCCCAATACTTGCGTTTGCTAACAGTTGAAACATATACAAGGGGAAAATGGATGCGCGTGTAAAAGTTTCCCTGCATTTTATGGGTTACAAAAGCAGTGGAGACGTTTGATCCTCTTTCGGTTCTTTCTGAGCCGGGATGTCAAGCCCTGAAAATCCGAGGGCAAGTCTGCCCACGTCAGCAGGAAACCTGCACTTTGCAAAGAAATTTACCAAAGGAAAAGCAACTTCAACGGCGTTTTATTGGGACATTTTGCGCCGGGTCTTCACACCAGTTTTTCGCAAAACGGCTCACGCCTCCATTTGGCTTCCTCCTCAGTGTGACTGTGTCCAGCCCCGCGGATAAATGCACTTCTGGGAGCGACTGCAGCTTAGCAACGTTTCAGCGCAGGAGCACAGTCCCTCCTCCTGCAAAAGGCAGCACAGGGTGCGATATTTCACCCCATTGCTCAATCTGTTAAAAGGTCACAATTGCTAACAGTGTGTTAATAAACTATAAAGGACGAGAAACTCTAACGTAGGCCATTTACGTTTAAAAATAAAAGATACCCGAGGGGGGAAAAAACACCAAATCACATTCCTTTCTGTACCACAGTCCTTCATGGGACAAATCTCTAACTCACCAAATGCACCTTTTAAACTAATCTGCTTGGCAGCGCTTTCTAACTCGCGGCTAAGAAGCTGCGTTGCTAAATTGGAGGTGGACGTGACATGTTGACATTTAGTCCCGCAGTGGTTTTATGGTAATATGTCACCCTCTAGTGCCTCAACCCTGCGAAGGCATCCCAGGTAGAGGAGGCAACAATATTCTATTATTTTCATCGGTATCCAAACAAAACTTAAGTTTTCCTTTAATATTTTCCTGAAGTTCTGTGAAAACATTACAGTTGCGAGTGACTTACTACGTAAGGAGACTCAGTTCCTCAAATGGGGAAAAAATTTAAACTGGGATTAACATTATATATTTCCAATAATGTGTATTTTCTCCTTAGCTGCCTCCATTCATTTGGTTTCATGCTAATATGGTTAGTTCAAACTTCCCTCTCCTCCCCCTATTCAAAAACTAAACCGTGTAATAAGATTTGAAAACACCATCTAGGGGGCAGATCCTGCCCCTTAGTTGCCAGTCTAAGTAAATACATAGTTTATGAAGATAATCATGCAAGAAGCAGTGTATAATCAGCCTTTGAACGACAAATACTTTGATACATTGACTTAGATCAAATACATCACAGATAAGTACTCTCTACTAGACTGCTAATCCTGTACTGCAGCTGCTGTTTAAGGTTTAAAGGTTTCTGATTTAGTAGTTATACAGTAACCCAAGTCACCAACAATATGTGGTGAAATGTATGCAAGATGATGTAAAATTATTTGCTCTCTATAAACTAAGAGATATTACTTAGTTTAAAGTTACACGTTTAAAAACATTGATAAGGAAGATTAAGATTTAAAGTAATTTTGTTCACTGATTAACCATGTTCTTGAGGCTTTACGAAGTTACTTATGTTCTGTTATAAATCTTGTGGATATACTACTGTGCTGTTAAAAGTTGTCTTACTCATTTTTATACCATTCAAACTACCAAGCCCCACACAAGAAGAGCAGCAGTGAAGGATTTTTGAAATCCAGAGGGATTAATTTCTATTTGTATTATAGCATAAAAAGTGAATAGCTACACCAGATGTTAAAAAAAAGTTGGAAAGGTGTGTAAAGTGACAGTTGCTAACTACTAGTGTTGAACAAATGTACTTACGAATAGCAGATAAAATTTATGCTATTAATCTAATGAACAGAAAACAGCTTTTTCATAAAATAGATTTATGATGACTAATCTGGATTCTGTTTGTATTTATTTATTAGTAAATAGGAAAAAATGAATACCTGTGAACTGTCCTTTCATTGTAAACCAAGTTTTCCTTTGCCTCATTGAAATCTCATGGTTCTTTATTATTGTAAGTTATTTACATGAGAAATGCTGAATCATGAAACTGCAGTTACAGAAAATATTTATGATAAAAAGTCACTGAAATAAAAGATAATATTCTGTTTTGAAAATAAACCACTTAGGCTTTAATTTCAGCTTAGTACTTATGCAGTGGAAAGCAAATATTATGTCAAACTGCTCTCTTCCACTTTTAACTCTTAAATAAAAATGTTTAATTGTGACAATCTAACACATTTTTTCAAAATATTTTTCAGAGCCTAGTTTAGCAGCCCATTCTAGTTATAACAGTATTATGAAAAATTAACAATGATACAACTAATACTTGCTAGAGAAATTCATTTTACATTAATCGAACTGGGCTTCAGGTTTACGTTGAAGATTAAGCTATATACATTAATGTGAAACCCAGCACTGTTTCACTAGTTCTTAGAAAATGTTGTATTATAGTGCCACCTACTGGGATACTAAGAATATAACTTAAAGCATCTGCAGTATTGAGCTTCAGAAAATCTTGTATTGAACTATTAATTACACCTCTACCCTGATATAACACTGTTCTCGGGAGCCAAAAAATCTTACCGCGTTATAGGTGAAAGCGTGTTATATCGAACTTGCTTTGATCCGCCGGAGTGCGCAGCCCCACGCCCCCAGAGCGCTGCTTTACCGGGTTATATCTGAATTCATGTTATATCGGGCCGTGTTATATCGGGGTAGAGGTGTACTTTTCAGTAAGATTTCAAATTAACATTTACTAAAAGACAAGAAAGGGTGAAAGTGCAAATAAAGAATCACTGTTTGCTCATAACCCCATCACTCTTGCAGTGATAATTTAAAAATCAGTCTAAAGCAAGTTATATCTTTGTTTTGGTTACTGCATGCATTCTATACAGGTTTTAGCTCTTGATTAAATAATTCACTGAGTCTTTTAAATTATTTATTTGAACTTATTATTATCTTGGAACCAAATTCAAGAATTCAGGAAGAGAAATCTACAAAGCACACATAAATAAGAGAACTCCAGATCTGTTTTGATGATTTGAGACAACACAATGCTATATTCCAAATCTCCTAAAACAGACATTAATGTCAAAATAAAATTATTCTGATCAC